GCAGAGGGGAGGGAATTGAGTGTATAAAATATACACATATGCTTACCTGTGTGGATATACACATATTAAATGTTTCCAAAAATCTTGCTTTCTATTTCTGTGGCTTTTTCCCAGTTCTCAGCAGAAAAATGTGAGTAGATTTCTGTCCTCTTGTACTTTTGATGAGGTGAGGATTTCTGTTCCACATTTCCCAGTCAGTTATAGGAGAGAATTTAGTCTAGGTGTTTGTATGGATTATGTGCAAAGGATGTGAATACAGAGGAAGCTGAGATAGCCCAGATTACAACCAGCAATATGTACTAGTAAAAATGAGACTGTAACATTATATGCCAAATCCTGAATGACTTTCTATTTCCTTTTGTGCAACCATTCTACTTCATTATGTGTGACTGTATTTGATATGTAATTTCCTTCCATTCATGTGAGATGTGGTAAACAGAATTAGTGTTTGAAAGCTTTTCTGTCTGAACCGACTAAACTTTTTGCATAATATTAAAGTACCTTTGACAAAAACATGATCTGAAACCTGAATATTTGTTACAGATATATTTTGTCATAAATGGTCTCATAAAAAGCAGCAACAAACTTCCTATGGGTAAGACAGTGCTTGGCCAGTAATAATTGTGAAAGCTGCATTATTTATGGATAGCCTTCTATTATAATAGCATACTTCAGTCTTTTTAACTCAACAATTTTTTGAGCTGCATTTTCCAAACAGTGATCTGAGTTTGAAGCCAAACTCTGTTCCTACTAGGAACCTTGCTGAGTATTTCCCATTCACACATGTGGGTGGGACATTGATTAGTTACCCTCCAGAACCAAACAGACCTCTGTTATGGAGCAAGATGCTGACATTGGAGAACAAGAGGATTAAATGGGGAGCCAAAATGGCATAATCATCAGTTCTATAGTATAATCATCAATTCCCTCTTGTTTTTTTTTTGAAGTTTGGGCTTTGGGGTTTTTTCATGCATTAAGTGGAGGGGTTTATGGCAGCAATGGTTTGATACCTTTATTTTTCTACAATTTAACCAAATCTAACTAAATCATCCAAATGTAAAACTTCCTTCTAAAAACAGGAAGATCTGTCTTTAAGCTGAAGTTAAAGCTGTTTGCTCAAGGCCCAGGGATTCAGATGCCAACAAACTATCTAGCAAGTTCACTGGCAGTGAGGAAAAATTGCCACTCCTTTGTGTTTTAAGAGCCAAAACTTCTGGAGAGTGTTTTAAAGAAAAAGAACAGCTGTGTTTAAAAAAAAATCCTACTTAACTAAGTTTTCTGTTTCAAGTTCTAAGACATTGCACAAAATTGTCTTGCTTTAAGATGTTCCAAATGGGTCAGCGGCAGAAATCTAGCTATAGCAAACCAAATTAGCCTGGGCTGCCAAATATGATTTGTTAACCTGCTCTGAACTCCACGTGGTTGTACCTAGACTGCCACTAGTTCAGGGCTACTTTAGTTCAAGTGCTGTGCAAACCTGCCTACTGTTTGTAATGAGATTTCTGATGTGGTCACAAACTGCTGGGTTGCAGCAATGACTAAAGGTCAGATGTTTCTTTCATCTTTCAGAATCTCCATCAAGAACTTGAAGCAAAATTTTATGAAGACACTTTTGACTGGGACCAAGTACGAAATAATGATGCAGCAGGACTGCTGAAAATGTTTATAAGAGAACTCCCAAGCCCACTCTTCACAGTAGAATATCTCCCTGCTTTCATCACACTAGTAGAAAGTATGTGGAAATGAGTTAGTATGAACTGATCTAGATAAAATATAAAAGTAGGCATTACTTTTTTCTGTCTCTGAAATACATAAAAAACCCATGTAAAATTTTTTTTCTCTCTGAAACGAGAGAAAAACAGTCCCCATGCTTTGCCTAAGCATTTAAATTTTCTGCAAGCTTTCATTTTCAAATGGAAAACAGTGTTTGCATTTAGCTAATAGCATAGGCATGTTGTGTGAATAACAACCATTTAATGTAAGATTTGTAACCTGTGAGTAAACAATGGGTGAGTACTGACTTTCATGTATAGACCCTGATTCATACTAATTACAGGTTTCACAAATGAAGATTTCTGCAAGGTAATCTCAAATCACTGCCCTATAGCTGATATTCTATTGGATCTATTTTATTACTCTTAAGGTTTATGTTGAGGTCAGAATATTGGTACTGATATGTGTGATCACAGAAAGCTTCAGGCAGTCAGGTTTTGTTTTCAGTGTACATACACCCTCTCATTCTCAGTACATCTTGTTCATTTCTGTTTCAGGAAGAATACAGCTGTACCTTGCCATACCTATGACTTCACTGTAAAGTCACTTGACCTAGGACAGAGGGAGACTATCAGGATAGTGAATTTATTAGGCAAATTGGCACTGAAAACTGAGGACCTTGACATAAGGTTGCAGCCAAATTTTCAGTGTCTCCATGAGGTAGTTTAAAGGGCAGAAGGAGGTGACCCCTTCCTGTAACCTTCACATACCTAGTGTGCTCCTTGTGAGTCAGAGACTGCATGCAGTTACAATGACTTAGCAGTTTGGAGAAGACTGAACAGGAGGTGTCTGTGCAGAATAAAGTGGCTTTATTCTCCACAACAAATACACAGATATCTAAGAGAAACTAGATAGTACTGAAAAATATTGGCTTGTTTCTACATAGACAGAATTTTATAGAGCCTTGTCTCCCCATGTGACAAAGATCGAAGATGATGAGGAAAACCCCACTTATTAAATTGATTTTTTATTTGGGAAAAAGGTTAAGGTTAATCAACATGTAAACATGCTAGTCTCAGCCAGGCACTGGTTGCTGTTTCTAGAACTGCTGACACACAAGGTGTTTAGAACAAACCAATTTCAAATGGGATTTCAAAAATATTAATTATTCATATCCTTAGAAATCTCCAAGATCAAGTTACAACTACAAGCTTTGCATCTGTTGATCATGCTGCTGCCTGAAGCCAACAGAGACACAGCCAAGGTAAGTTCTGCCTTTGCTATCACCTGTCATCTGTGGTGCTTTTGACTTTTAAATGAGAGACACATTTTTTCCTAACAATCAATGATCAGACATATTCATCTGTGTTTTTCATCATTTCCCTGAAAAGATGTTCAAATTCCCTGGCTGTCATTTTTCTTACAAGCAATTAAGATAGCTGCTGGAGGTATCCTACTGCTGGGGTTCAGGCATCATTTATTCTAGAGTGCACATTTAAAAGAGGTATATTCCTCACACAGTTTGGAAAAAGAAGGTCCAGTTTATGGAGTTTATGTATAATAAAAATTCTCCAGAGTGAATTAAAATGAGAAGCTGCCTTCTAGAAGCTCACCTAGTGCACTCCCTGTACTGAGAGGCTTCCAGGGCACTGGACCAGACTGGTGGAAGTAGTCCAAAGTAAAAATGTACATCTGTAGCACAGATGTCAGGACCTCATACTCAAATGATTTGCCTTACAAGCCCATGCTCACCCCCATGTGCTACTTCCTGATACAGACATAGTGGTTACAAGCATTTTGTGTGCTTGGGAGCTACCAGATCTGACTGCAGCTATGTCCTGACCCTAAGAGACACTGGTTACATCTTTGGACTTGTGTCCATATAAAGCAAACCTGAGTGAACAAGCTGCCTGGGAGTCCCCAGACATTTTGTCAGGTCCTCTGCTTATCAGGACCATGCAGGTCCTCCACCTCTAAAAGTCTCCCACTATTCAGTTTAGATATAACTTTATGAGTTCAGGTACCTTCTTTGACTGTATTTATGTATACAGGAATAGGTGACAAGAACAACCACCCTCATTAAAGAATCTGGAGGTCTAGTAGTGCTCTGTGAAGAATGGGGCTTATTTCTGCTACCAAAGTTCATTTTGTCATATAGTTGGTGTATATGTAAAACACATGCTAGAAAAGTAGTCTTGATTATTAGTAGGCTTTTGTACAAAAATTGAAGTGATGACAAAACTATGCATCTCTACTTGCTATCTACAACGAGATTTTAGAAATTTCTCCAACACAGTTTCTATTTTGTAATTCCTGGGTTTGTAAAAATATTTTAATTGCAATGTCAGGGTACAAAGACAGTGGTTTTAATTGTGTGGTTTGCTGTGGTTTAACCCAGCAGGCAGCTATTTAACCCAAGCCATCAACCAAGTGCCACATAGCTGCTCGCTCACTCCCCCAACCAGTGTCATCAGGGAGAGAATTGGAGGGGTAAAAGCTAGAAAACTTATGGTTTGAAATAAAGACAGTTTACTAGGGAAAGCAAAAGCCACACGTGCAAACAAAGCAAAACAAGGAATTCACTGCTTTCCATGGGCCCCCATCACACATAACAGTTACTTGGGAAGACAAATGCCATCACTCCAAATGACCCACCCTTCCCCCTTCTTCCTCCCAGTTTATATACTGAGCATGATGTCATACAGTATGGAAAATATCTTTGTTCAGTTGAAGTCACCTGTCCCAGCTATGTTTCGTCCCAGCTTTCCATGAATCCCCAACCTCCTCACGAGCCTGGCAGTAAGGAAAACAGTAAAGACCTTGGCTCTGTATAAGCTCTGCTCAGCAATAACAAAAACATCTCTATATTATCAACCCTGTGTTCAGCACAAATCCAAAACACAGCCCCATACTAGCCACTGTGAAGAAAATCGACTACTCCAAGCAAAACCAGCACAACACCACACAGCCATTTCTTCATTTCTCCCCCCACCCAGTGGGATGGGTGAGAAAATTTTGAAAAAAAAAGTAAAATTTATGGGCTGAGATAGAAACGGTTTAATAGGACAGAAAAGAAAGGGTAAATAATAATGATAAAATAATTAGAACGTACAGAACAAGTGATGAATAATGCAATTGTTCTGACTGGTGCTCAGCCAGTTCTTGAGCAGCAGTCCCAGACCAGCATTCCCACGGATTATATACTGAGCATGATTCCATGTGGTATGGAATATCCCTTTGATTAGCAAGAGTCAGCTCTCCTGGCTGTGTCCCCTCACAACGTCTTGTGCACCCTCAACCTTCTCACTGGCAGGGCAGCATGAGAAACTAAAGATTACACTAGACTAAGTGTAAACACTGCTTAGCAACAACTAAAACGTCTGTGTTATCAACATTATTCTTATCCTAAATCCAAAACACAGCGCTGTACCAGATACTAGGAAGAAAATTAACTCTTTCCAGAAACAAGAACAGTGTTGCAAAAGGACTCGTTAGACCCCACTCTAACCATGGCAGCAATCCATCCTATTCAGTCACTCAAGCAAAATTCTGAATAAACTATCCAAAAGGGAGGTGAGTTTCCTTTTACTCTGCCATGTATGTGCAGAATTAATGTCAATAAGCAGCTACATTATCCCAGAATAAAATTTTGGGATTTCTGGGAGAAATTCCTCTGGTTATATCACATATGGGACCAGTGCATCTTTGAAGAGAGACTGATAACCCTGTTGATTGTGATATAAAGTGCACTGGCCAGATACATCAAAATAGATGCTTGGAAACCTATGAAGAAAGTAACTATTCCTTTGCAGTATCTGTTCATCTTTCCTCTACTACAGGATTCAGAGCCTTAGTGAAGACACTGTACTTGACTTTCCAATTTGGGATTATGCTCTGATACATAGTTTATTAATGTGTATTTTTTGTAGTGTTAACTAGTCATCTTTGATTGACGCAGGTGATTGTACCAACAAATATCAGAGTAATCCAAGCTAAAACAGAAAACCCACAAAATTTTACCTCCAAGTGCAAATATAGCAGCTTTTGGGACAGACATATTGTCTATTTGAAAACAATGCATTTCAACAGTGAATCATTTCATGAGACTCAATATGTGTTGTTGTTCCAGGCCTTTCTTCAGTTTCTGAAGAAGGTGGTTGCTAATGAAGGGAAAAACAAGATGAATTTGTGGAATGTTTCTATGATTGTTGCACCAAACCTCTTCATCTACAAAGGGAAACGTGCAAACCAACAAGAAATGCAAGCAGCTGCCACCACAGCGCACATTGTGCGGCTTTTGATTCGGTACCAGGACATCCTGTGGACAGTGAGTAATGCTGGCTCCCTTTTCATGGCTCCAGTACAGAGCACTATTTTGCTATATGCATGGGCTCTGCAGAAATCACAGTAAACTCACCTTCCAAGATGAAACAGTTGGCTATTCTTTGGAAACTGGCTGGAGTCTTCTATATCTAGAATAAGACAGGGTGACATATATCTCTGGATTGAGTTACCTCACTTACTTAAAACTTCTGTTTTAGCATGAATTGTCCTCTGGAGGTACCTGTTTATACAGAATAATGCATAGAAGAATGATTTGATCTGGATGCCTAGGTGATGTCTAAACTTGAATGAGATTATATGTCAAAAGTGTAGCCCACAACAATATGGGCCAAAAGTGTGTACTACTTATTGGGCTTCTGAAGGTTGGCATGAAGATGCTGAGAGTCTCAGCTTGTTTCCTCATAACAGAGGGAGAGAATGATGGGGATTGCAAAGACTACCTCCTAATAAAGTTCCTGTAACTGCAAACATCACTGAAAAGTTTAATATAGTATGAAAGATGATCTACAGTTTTGCCAAAGAAATAACTGTAGGTTGTTAGAGGGAGCTACAAATTGCATGCATCTTCTAGGAATAAATAGAGCTTCTGTTGCCTAAAATTTGGTGCCTTTCCAAAGACCCAACACCAATTTATTGGGGGAAAATGACTATATATTCTCAGATCAGGTTTCCTTCCTTTAGGTCCCATCCTTCTTGATATCTCAAGTGAGAAAAATGAATGAGGCAGCGATGAGCAACAGCAAGAGACAGCTGATGTTTGACAAAGGAGTGAGAAAACTTCTGAGGAGAAAGACCATGGAACGTGAGAGACCTGAAAGACCAGAGGTGTGATAAAATTATAGTTTTTCAAGGGTGGTTTTAACCAGCCTCCCTCCTTTATCTCATGAAAGCTTCTGGGGGTGGAGAGGAAATTTGCCATATAAAATAAGTTGATTTGAGAGTTATCTTGAAAGGTGTGCTTCTCAGTTCAACATCCTAATAAGACAAGCCTTTGGGGATTGATTGAGGAAAGGTGAGGAAGGCAGAATGATTTCTAGCAGCCCAAGCCACCATGTAGTAACTACCTTTAATAACCTGGAGGGTGTTTAGAGCCTTCCCTGGATGTTTAAAAGAATCAAGATTAGTGAGATGTAAAATCAGTCAAGGAAATGGTCAAGGACTTTATAGTTGTTGAAGAATGGTCTCAAAGAACAAAAGAAAAGTCAAATTAGGAAGAAGTGATATTAAGAGATTATTAGATATAAGCTACCTGGTACAGACAACAGAGAAAATGCAGAAGGGAATGTCTGGGAGAAAAATAGAAAGATAAATGGTATGTATGGATTGTGAATCCATGCTAATTCAGCTTTCTGGAGAATTTGTTTGACAGCACTGACTGAAATCTATTGCGGGTAGGACACACATTGGCGATATAGACTACCATGTTGCAAAGTTGCATTCAGCCTGGAACAAACATAGAAAGACTCTTTCTCTGAGGAGAGTCAATTACCGCAGTCATTGCACCTTTGGGAAGATAAGTCCATTGATCGTAGTAATTGGCTTTGTGTCTAATAAAACTGAGGGTAGCCATGACAGGTAGCTGAAATATGAAGGGTAAATTGGAGGCAAAACTCTGTTTGGATAAGTGAGTTGAATTTTGAGAGCACTTAACACAAGCCCCAGGTCTCAGATGTTCTAAATTACACAGGGACAGAGACTGGAGAGGCTATTGTGTTCTGCTCAGCATGGTATTAACTGGATTAGAACTGGAATGCAAACCTTGCTAATTGATTCATCCACCATTAATCATGGAAGAGTGCATAAACTTCATAGCTGATCATTTGAATCCTACAAAAGGTCAAATTTCAAATTAACAGAAACCATATGGTACTTGGATATTTTGCTGTACAGATGCTTCTATCTAGTTGAAGCTATAGGAAGAGAAAACAGAGAACTGGATCTTTAGGACATAGGAGAATTTAATCTTTGGAAGGAAGAGCAGATATTCCTAATAATTTTTATGTATATTTAAATAGACTGTTGGTTCACTGATCAATGTCAACAGAAAGAACGTTAAAAAATCTCAGATGACAACTCAATATTACTGCAAGCAGTTAAAATTCAAGGGCTTTACTCTTGTGTGCATTTATGTGATACTTAGCAAGGAGTTTGTGTCTTTGTGTTGTATCTTATTATACTGTTTCTACAAATTTGCATCTATATGCCTGTAAATATGTCTTTTGAATAATCAAGTGAATGCAGGACAGTGATTTTTGCAAGCAACTTCAAAAGAGTTGCAGAACTGCTTCTGAATGGAGCTAGAGCAATATTTGCCTTAGACTTACTCTATTGAATATTGATTTTAGGGAGCTGTCACTTTTCCCCCGTACCTGCAGTCTGACATACCCGAGGGGGTGATAAGAGTTTATGCTCCACTGCATTCAAAAGTTTCTATGGCAATTCAACTCAACAGCCAAACAAAAGCCAAAGACATCCTGGCTCGATTCCACTGTGAAAACAGGTGGGTAAAGCAGAACATTTTGTTTTTCCTGAGCAACAATATCAGAACTATAAATGAATGGATTGTTCCCATTTTAGAGACTCATTGTGTTACAAGAACTCTTTTTCTAATCTAAGCTTGTTAATTTATGGTTATGTTGGTCAAGGAAATTTTAACCACTGATGTTGTTCTTTTTGTTTTACTCAATAATCAGGTCCTGTACAGAGTCAATCTGCCCTCCATACATTAAACATGTTTTGTAGACTTGTCACATAGAGAACCCAAAAGGGATTGTCTTATATCTGTCCATAAATCTTTAATGTTTTTATTTCTGTGAGGTAATAATTATTAACAGTTATGTGAAATGCTAAATTGTATCTGCAAGTCTTTCTGCAAAGTCTTCCCATGTTACCACATAATTCTGTTTTTGAATAAATAATATACAACAAATAATATAGAAGGTTTAGTTAACTGTGATACAGTGATGTACCTTTGTGGCAGATTCAGTATTCTGCAATGGTCCATTTGGTAGAAGTTCTTGCTTTTGATAAGGCAGTTCACACGCAAAAAAAATGTCATTTTCTAGCTTTTGTAGATGGTGGGTGAAAGGCAGTGACTATAACAGAAAGACACACTGAAAGTTTTTTTTCATCCTAGCCATGGATCATCACAGAACATGAGAGGCCAGATCCAAAGTTTACATGAAATTGGAGGAAATATAGGTAGGTCTCATTTTTGAAAATTGAATTCTGAATGTCTTTAACCTCCTAAAACACCTCAGGGCAGCACTGTTTCGACACAGCTGGGTCTCTCCTACCCTCCAGTCCATTTAGAAGAAAGAAGCCTGACCCAGAAGCTGTTAAAATCAGTGCCATGATTTCTTCCAACTCTAGCATGACTGGAGGGGCACCCCACAGGAGATACTGAACCCAGTGACTGGATCTCAGTAGTATTCCTTACAGTCTTGACAAATTTATGTGACCTTTTGCTTACCTTCCTCACTCTCATAACTGAGCATTTTTCCACGGTTAAGAAATCATTGATCTTCCTGTTGCAAGCACATTCCACCTCGTTGTTCTTTTTTCAAGACCTATTTCTTCCTCACTGTATCTGTTAACCTCCCGCAAATAAAAAAACCACAGAACTGAGAATTCAGCCCCTGTATGTATGAGTGTTCTATACTTACACTGATCTGTGTGCTTTATTTAGATTGCAAATTCCTTACAGTGGGGATTTTGTCTTCTGTGTTTCATGCAGTGACATTTCTTGTAAAAACAACAACACTGGCTTGCCCCACAAGTTTCTAGCCCAAAGGTCAAAAACCAGATTTTAATTTGATATTGCAAAATCCTGGCTGTCTTCTTTCTCTATTCATACTAAAATTCTGGATGGTCTGTTGGAGTCTGTTGTCAACTTCCTGATTAGATTATTCTGTATTTCTTCTAGATTCAGCTCTAAGGAGTGTAAGTTATTACAAAACATCACAGATTTACTTAAGCAGCAATCAAGAAGCAGACTTTATTACTGATGGTACACAAAGCTAAATTAGATTAGTGATTTGTTTTGCCTGGCTAAACAGGATGACCAACTGATGCTAAAACAATAGAAGATCCTAAAGGCCTTGTGAAAAAATTCCAAATATTCCCACCACTCTCTTTCAAGAAAATCAGGACATTTAATTTGCATTTTCATTTAAAATTACTTTTATAGTCCTGGATCCTTCAGGGTACCTTAGTCCACTGATTATGCATTAACTCATTTATATTGCTTTCACTTGAATAAAATCGTTAGGACCCCAGTGACCTTATAAGTAACCGTACAAAAAAATTTACCATAATCCTCTGTGTCACAGCAATGTAACCTCACCAGTTAAGTGACTTCATCACCCCACATAAATGCAATATAGTCCAACAAATCAATTTAACTCAAGAATTTATTGCCTTATTACTTAATTAAGAGGCACCAATTGCCTCATTCTGGCAAAGGCAGCAGGGACTTCCCAATCACCACCTAATGCAACCCTGGAATATCCAGACTTTGGAGGATTCTTTTTTTCTTTTTTTTAACCATCAAAATTACAACTGCCAAAAAACCTTGATACAGTCCCTGAGTTTTTTTGCAAGATCCTAGCTGAATAGGAAGACATTGTTTTTTTAGCACTTAAAAACAGTGAGGAAACAGTCAGAAAGCTGTAATTCCAGCCCAGTAAATCCAAATAAATAAAAAAACGCCAAACTATACTGTGACACTTACAGTAAAAGTGTTGTTAATGCATCTAAAGAAACCGTATGTGTTCACTGTCTGACTAAATGTCTTGTCCATAACTCAGTCTAATGCATGCAGCTTGCCTAGGAGTGAATTCATGACTCTCACAGAGTAAAATCACGGGCAAATTTACCAAAGGCCTTCTCTGTATCCAAGCAAGATGTTAGCTGAACACACCAAATTAGACTTTCTCCATGCAAGTCACTCAAACGTTCAAGGACATTTTAACATAGCTGTCCCAATGTGCTCAAAACATCCTAGGATTCATGGCTGTCAATTTCCATTTCAGGTCAGCACTGTTTGGATCCAGATGCATACATGTTGGATGTCTACCGTGCAAATCCTCAGGCAGAATGGGTGATAAAACCAAAAGCAAGCTGAAGCAGAAGGCTGCAGTGTACTGGACAAAAGCCAAATGGACAGCGGTGATGCCTGTCATTTTAAGAAGCTCTTGCAGAGACAAAATAAAATGGTAGCTACAGGACATCATTCCTTCCTACTGTACTGTCCAATCGATGGTCAGCATGTACTACTTTTGGTATCCCAGCTTCTGAACCATCAGAAAAACATCACATCAACTATGCTTTCATATGGATTACACTTGTGCTGGTTGGCCCAGGAGTTAATGAGGACAGACCAAGGTACGGCGCACAGAAAACAACCTGTTGCATATGAGTTATTTGTTTCCTGACCTGGTGTTAGAAAACAGATTTTTGGAAATATTCCAGTGGCAGCAGAGGATGAATGAACCACAGCGTAACACAGAGGCACTGCAGAGATGTTCAAGAAGAGACAGTATCTGTCAGATGTGGAAGAGAGGAGCTCAACCTGCAGCAGTGCCAAGACAGATGTGTGACAAAACCAAACCTTTCTGCTGAAGGAAACATATACAGTGTGCATTACTGCAATATTTATGTCTCTCAGTCACTCCTCATAAGTACCTGACGCTGGGGGAGGGAGGCAGGAGGAACTACTGTATAGACAGCTATACTGCTTAATGTATGTACCACTGTATATATCACTACCAGTCTTCCAAAATTGTCTGTCTGGTTTACATTGCTGTGTGCAATTGTAGTGCCACAAACCATTCTCTCCTCACCTCCCCTGTCATACCCAAGCTTCCAGAGACAAATGCTAGGTGAGAAGGGGCATACGCCACTGCCTCTGCCTGTTACTTGACAATCTCAGACTTAAGTCTGTGTAATGCCATACTATGAGATACGTGTTAATGGTGCCACTTAGTCATCACCTTTTTTGTTAAACATTATAGTTTCTAATTTGTAACCTAATTCTTTTTATTTTGTTTATTTTAGCATTAATATGTAAGCAATTTTTATACTATTTAGCTGCATTGAGAAGAGATCTTTGTTCAGGTCTTGTATAATACAGTATGGAGAAGAAAAAGAGCTTCCAATGAACAGAGGGATTTAATAATTTACACATTAGGTCTTTAAAACTGTAACCAAACTAGGCCCAGTTGTACTGGGAGTTTTACAAATACACAGAAAATTGCAAGCCCTTTTACAGATGGCATGCAGTCTAAGAAAACACAGGCTGACAAGAGAACAGTGAGCTGCAACTGCATTGGGAATGTAAGACTATGTATAGACTGTAGCAAGTCACAAGGGCAAGCACTGTTCTTCATCTAGTCATCTCATTTTGGGCTATACTTTACTGAACTAAAGCATATTTGTTGAGCAGGAAAATAACAAATCTCTGGAAAAGAGCAAGTATTTTTTTCACCTTTGTCTTGCACAAAAAATGGAAACTAGTGCATTCAACTGCACTGCAATGTCTGTCATTAGATGATAATATTGCACAATGAATTCACCTACAGCCTGAGCAGTGGGTTTTGTTCCTAATCTGGATGTTCCTGATGATGAGGTAGAAGCTCTGTTTATTACGTAGGAACGTAAAAGCATTCTGAACCATGTCCTCCAGGTGAACATGAAGGACACAGTCCTGCAGAGAAAGCCTGTAACTTGTGATGCTCTGCTGAAGCTGTGCAATGAAGAATTGAACCAGAAGCAGGGCTTCTAGAATGTTCAAAGTTAATCCTGTTCTCCAGGAGTTAACTTTCATTGCTGGAGTTCAGTGAAAGAAATCAACATTGAATCAGTAACTTTATCAGCAACAACAGTGTCTATAGAGGGCAGATCCTGTCTTCTTTCTTACCTTCTCAAGATAAAAAAAAAAACCATACAATTTACAACATTAGCCTTTCATTTTCTTTAAAACATTTCTTACTTAACAGGTGGGTTTTCTTTTTTCTTCTTCCTTTTTTTTTCCCATTTTTTTCTTTCTTCTTAACACTAATGGAGGCATAGTTGCAGCCAGGAAAAGACTAGGGCAGTTGTATTATAAAATACAGTCCTAATTTTGACAACTATTTATTTTAAATATATGAGAGATAGTAGATCTGTGGTTTGTTCAGAAGAGTAAGCATAAACATTTTGTCACATGGTTTGCTCCCAATACTCTTTAGTTCCCTCTGTGGCAATGGACATCTCTTTCTACTGTGCTGTGCTTTTCTTTCAGCTGTAAAACAGGACTGGTACTTCCCATATAAAGGCAACATGAGAATTAGAGTTAAACTCTACTCTCAGATGCAGCCAAACAACTCCCTGAGCAGATCAGGAGTTATAAACATCCATCTGGGAAGGACAAACTCAGCAAAGGGATTTTATGTGGAAAGTGCTGTGAATACAAAGAGCATCATATAAATGCTAAGCAACATTTTATTTATAGCAAATGAAAGATATTCTATGACTGTACAGAAAGCCTAAACATTAACAAAAGCATTTGAAATGTAGCAACTGAGATAGCTTTCTACAATAGTCTCAGACAAATACACTGATCCCCTCCATCTTGCCCACTCACTTCAGTCTGTGTTCTCAACAGCTGTGCAAGGGAAAGTACAGAGCAGCCCTGTGCTCACTTTGTAACTTGCTCAACATATTCTGGACCTCATCGATGTTATTTCTGAAACAGATCTCCCTGCATACCGTACAGAATACAAGGGGGGATTGGAAGACTTTTATCACTTCACAACATAGGAAAGTAAAAAATTATGTCATAAAATCCATCCTGTGAGTGATTCTTTTATACTAAAACTGCCTGTAACTTTATAAGACATGCATATTAGCAGATGAACTAGATTCTGTGTACAGTGCCCAGACTACTACAGCGTGGCCAAGTACCTCCTGTCTCTGAAACAGAATAGCAAAATTCTTTTTTGATACAAATGGACCTAATGACCCATGTGTACTGTGGTTAACATTGTTCCACATTAAGTCGTTTTGCATTGTTGTGGTACACTAACTTGATTTACTATGCAGAAGACAAACAGAAGAATCTCTGACATTGTGAAATATGAGGTCTCAACTTTAGGCCTTGTGTTACAAGATGCTTGTGGAGGCACTGGGAATTTTATTCCTCCTAACAACAGCTGAAGTCAAAACCAAGTTGCAATAGGATTGTCACCTAACAAAATGCAACATGTGTGGAAAGCTATTACTAAGTAGTAGCAAGCAGGGAGAAACTTATTCAAATTCCAAAGATAGCTCAAGCATTTATGTACTCCATGGTCGTACAAAGACAGCATTTTGCATATCAACACAGAAAGAGAGAGTACTGTTAAGAAGTAGGTGTTGGAAACAGACTGGAATGCTCCAACCTGTTTATGCAGCTAATGTCATTAGAATGGGTGCAAATGTGTCTGTGTCCATGTATAATATTAACTACCTCACTCTGCATTTTCCAGAAAAAATACTTTGGCTCAGAGGTTTACTACGAAAAAAATTTCTATTATTAATTTCAACTCTACACTAGTCTTAACATTGACAAAATATCTCTTTTTCTATGGGGCAAGATTTGAAATTACAAAAAAAATTATAGAGTAAACCACATATTTCAGGGTAAGGATGAATTTTATCCAAAGCATGTTGCCTCAATTACCGTTTGTAATGTGAACCCTATGAGATCAGATGTTGGGGTTAATAGACAACCAATACAAACAAACTGTGTTTCACTTTTATTTTTCAAAGGCTTTCTATCAATGTGTGTCTTCTCTGGAAAATAATACAATGCCACTAATCAAAGCAAAGTGTTTGTATGTACGTTTCCCTTACAATCCTCATTATGTTATGTGTTTTGTTAAGTATGCCAACATGTAGGTGTATTTGTACAACAGAAGGTGTCCATTGTATTGTATCCATGTCAAAAATAAAACCAATACCAACAAACAGAGCTCTTCAAATCTAAACACATGGGGTTTTTTGATGATTCACCAGTGGTGAATCTGCCTTAAAAGCAACTGTGTTGTTATAGCACCTGAACAATTAGCTGTACAAAGGACCATGTTCTGCCACCCTTGCTCAAGTAGAGCAGTTCTTTGCTCCAGGAGCTCTTCTCTTGGACTACCTCAATGCAAGGTACTTCTAAAATGACACTGCTTGGAATCCTGCCTCATTGAAATCAATGGGAAACTGCTTTGAGGTTTCATTTCAGCCAGTAAGTTTTTAAACCAATTTGAAATGCATAGAGCAAAACTAACTTTAGAACAAAAGGTAAAAATGCACAGTAAAAGCCAAACAAAATTGTAAGGAGCAAACAAAAGTACTGCTAGTTCAAAGATGAAAAGGAGATGGAAGTGATTTGCAAAGAACTATGTTTATTATAAATGTATATTTAAGTATAAGACAAGTTTGTCACTGCCCAGTGATCTGGCCAGTTGATGAATGCCCTTACTTGAGTCAGATTGAGCATGTGTCCCCCAAACCTGGCTCACACACAACTACTGGAAGACTCATTCCAGAAACAGAAGCACAGCAAGAAAAGGCAAAGACAGAACTGCTGACTGGCCTGTGAATTAGGAATAGCAGAGCATCAAAAATGCCTACATGTGTCCTGTAAGAAATACTGTTTTCCAAAGAATGATGCATTGATTCTCATTGCCAAAATACCTAGTTTTTGCCAAGTCAGACCCAAATTGTTTCTTCATCAACACAACACTTCATATGCATCTCTATGCTGTGGGGCTGCAGCTCGTCCTGAAGCTAGTTACATGAAATCATAAACATGAACATAATTCACCTAGACAATGTATCTATAATGGGGTCAGAAACATTGGATATCAAGGCAGAAGGAAAAGGAACTGGAGCTACCATATAAAGTATAAATAAGAAAATTCTATTCATTAGACTCTGAATCTGAGAGCCTCAAAATTATACTTTTAGGCAGTCTCCTGCTCCCTCTGCTGGACTATATCTACTTAAACTTCAGAATCGTAGAATGGCCTGGGTTGGAAGGGAACTTAAAGATCATACCCAGTTCCAACGTCCTGGCTGTGGGCATAGTCATCACTTCTCAGCCTTCTGGCT